ACCATCCAAACGGTTCGACTAAACATGGTGACCTTCAGTGCTTGACGTTTATGTTCGGAAACGCATGATTGAGTGAAATCTTTTCAGTGAAAACGTAACCGATAAAAATGTTAATATCTAAGAAAAAAATACTAATTCCTTAACGAAAAAGATTAATATTTTTATGTTAATTTTATATTTAATTTTTCTATATTGAGTTTATAATGTTTATTTATATTATACTTTATTACAGGATATTTATTAGTTCATAAAATATTACTTCAAAATAGATTTTTTCTGCAAATTTGAAATCAAAATAATATATGTGACGAGAATGCTGCTAATATAAGCTGCTTGGAAACAGTAGTTTTAAATTTACCGCTTATCTGTGACGTCACACTTTGACAATTTTGATTGGTCGCGTGCGCAAGAGCATACCCTTGTCTTTATACCATGGGCCAGCCCACTCCCAGATACGGCCAACAGACCCCCAGTCATCATCAGGGACCGTTTGTGCATCCGCCGCCGCCCTCGATGACCCCCAGTCATCACAGATCTACTCAGTCGCATAGACCTACGCCGCCCCTGTCCACTCCTTCCGGCGATCCGACAGACTGGAAGAAGGCGGCCGAAGCATGGGCACGACTGAAGAGTGGTTCCCGTGTCTCGTGAGTATCCTTGCTTTTCTCATTTTGCAATCTGATAAGATCGTCTCAATGAATTCTATCTCTCACTAATAAATTAAGTAAAGATTTTATGAAAAATTGTTGATTTGAGATGTTAATGCGAATCTTGCCGACGAATTTATTTGAACGGTCGTATGTGCTTTCAGTGGATCAACGCCTAGGCATGGTGGAAAGAAACAAGGTGAGTTATTGCGCATAATGGCGGCAAAGAGTTGGGGGACTTGCTTGTCAACCAATCACAGGGGACCCATTTTATGCGCGCAAAATTCAAACGTTCACAGCTGATTAAAAAATCAAAACAGTATTGTAAATAAATAAATACTGCGACTATTACAATTTTTAATGCAACAGGTCGGCATACTGTCTACGAAGATAAAGTCACATAATATCAAGAGACACGGCAGTGTCTCGCGCCAAGTTCACGCGCAGCGCAAGACCGACCGTGTATCTTTACGCGAGACCGAAAGTTGAGACGAGCCGAGATTATTGGATCTCAGTAATGCCTGAGCCGATCGATTTAAAAATAGGCTCAATCGATAGCGCTTACCCAAAATATATAATAAAAGTATGCTTGTTTTTGCTCTATATGCTGTATAAATAAAGATATTAAAGTCTAAAGTCGAAATGTCATGAAAACTATGAAAATTATTTCAGTCGTCTGGGATGTACTTTATAAATTCTTGCCGATAGATGGCTAGTATCTCAGATGTACACATATCGGCATGTATCGCCGGCAACGCATGCACAAGCCATGTACATG